CCGCGGATGTTTCTCCTAGTCTTCTTTTTCTTCCAATCGTTTCTGCACTAACACGGAGGACACACATCGCTACTATGTCAGGCAGGTCAAATTAGCGGAAATCTAAAAAACTTGGCAAAGGGAGTTGAATGCGCCGCCGTACCCTACATTGCTCCTGTGCCCCCCTGACCTTCAATTTTCCAACTTCGGAATGCCAACCCTGTCCCTTTTGAACCTGTCGGTGCCAATAGTAGCTTATTCGGCCCGACGCACGCGGCTAGCAAGTTGATGCCGCTCAGCGCTGGTAGCAGTGCCTCCGATGTAGCAGGAGTCGTCACCTCCAACCCCGTGGAACCAACAGCCGTCTGCTTCGTCTCCGTGTCGGGTCGTCAGGGTACGTTACGTCAATCACACCAAACTCTTCGGCGAAATCACTGACGAGTTTCTGGAGGTCACTCGGGAACCTATCCCCCGCATGTTGCTATCTTGTCTTCGAGCTATCAACCTCCCTGGTGCCTGATTCCCACACCCCTGTCGCCGCGTGAGCCTCTCCATACTGCTATAGACTGTTGTTTTCGACAATTCTCAATTTATCTAGAAAAGCATGCGGGTCCTTTCACCAATAGTTAGAACAGAACAAAAAATCAGATGTTTGGTGTGAAGAGCAGATGATCAGATTTCATCGTAATGCACTTCCCACGGAACTTACAATGTGAAGCTCTTATTGAGTTTGGAGAGTTTTGTGTGAAGTGTAGACTAAAGAGAACTTCGGCGTAGAAAACGTACGCTACCGGATGTAGTTAATAAACCTCTCGTATAATCGGTATATTTTGCACCCAAATGTATTTCACAGAATGACGAATTGAATCAGTTTTCTGGTCTTCTACGTTAGAAATAAACAAACTGTCTGCCAATACCTAGTTTGCTTATCATAAACATAAGATTTGGAAGTGGGTATATCTTTTAGATTATAGTGTTCGCTTGACCTTTGTCTATATTCATCTGTGTCGTTGAGTGCATTTATGACCCTTGCTTTGTGAACCGTTACCTTTCGCCATTAAATCACCCTACTAAAATCCCCTGAGTAATGTGTTTATAGAGCAAATATCGGATTCAAAACTAAATGCAGATCGTCGCAGGCTTCGTACCTATTCATTCCCTTTTCCTTTGCACAGAGCAGCTGGCATTTAGAAGGAAAGAAAATCGCTCAAGCGAGTTATAATAGCGCAGAACTTCATTACACAGTCCTCCATAAGCAGAACAAGGGTCCTCAATCAAAAGAAATGCGACTAGTACTCCAGCTAATATGCTCAATAGCAGCATTAAGGCCAAGTTACAATAGCAATTCAGCCGGAACTATATCACAACATGCACACGAACCTCAAGGGTGCTGAGAATGAGAAGAAGACGACTCGATTGCTGGGACAACACTTTTATTCACCCGACGTTTCGATATCCGTCACAGCCTCGCCATAAAATATATAGTCAGAGAGCAATAGCAGATAGCAGACCCTATCTGGTCCTGAGAATGCCGTAGGAAACATTCTCAAGTATATGCGTTTTGACATATTTTTAACAAAATCTAACTTACCGGTCTTTGCAGCCCTAGATTGAAAAAAAGCAAAAGCGAAATTGCAAGAGACGTAATGCCAGTCATTCGTGCTCAACCGTCAAATCCGCTAATCGGACTATGTCATCATCTTAGCTGATGACTTTCTAATTGATGACGCAAAGGAAATCATTGCCGTCCGTAATTTCGGAATAACAGTTCTGTATATAGTCTAGGGACTGCTTCAATCAGATGCATTTCATTAAACTCCTCCCCTGGCCTACAAAAAATCCCAAAGCAGTTTCCACAGTTGCCGTAGCTGAGAACGTCGAAGTGTTTGCATCGACAAAACGAAGGTTTTCTAAATCAGAAGTCAATGAAATGGCGTGCTTGACTAGCTTTGACATTGCGTGCGAATCAAACGGCGAATCGAACAGATACATGAGAGAGACAGGACAACACGAGGCTCTGCCAGCGATTGATAAAGAGCAGGCAAGGAGATTGTCATGCGTGAGAATAAAGGGCTTGGCTAGCGAAAAAATATCAGTTACCGCAGTGGTGCTGAGCTTGGACTGCCACAAGTAATATTATCCAAACATGGTTGTCAAAGAACTTATGACTGTCCCTTCATTGTCTTCTCTGTCCCAGGCGTGCAGTAGCATGATTAGCTTTCACGTTCCCGTTTTAAAAATAAGGCTGGAGGGACGGCCATTGGTTACTGGACTCCAAATGCACGTTTCCTGCTTCATGCATACTATTGCATCTTGACAAAAGAGGAAAACGAGTTTTACCGCGAGGCATACGTCAGTTGTCTGACGGTTGTCTTTGATTTCTCTGTGTCCGCGCGCACACTTAGGTATGCACCATCAGGGCATTTTATGTGTATCAGAGTGCCAGGGCGGAAATCCCTGCCTTAAAGACGGTCTGCGAGCCGGGTGAGGACCCGCTGAAATGTCATTGTGATGCTCTGGACATCAAGTCAATCACCAGGCTGCCGACGTTCTACTTCCGTGAACTTGGTGAACCGTCCTTCACAAACGCCGTCTTCATGGACGAGTTCAATGCCGTGCGCGAACGTTAGTGCCCCTACTCACATGCGCATTTTCTGAGGCGTCCTGGTGAATATTTCACCTGGATTCATATGACTACTTGGCGTATGCCGGGATGGTCAGGCGATAACGTGTAATTCATTATTTTTTGTTAATTTATTTAATTTATTCATAAATATTTATTTATTAAATTATTTTTCTTAGGCTGGTTGCCTATAAGTTAACTATCGTTCGTTTTGTTAACTGGGTAATTCCGTGTTTCAAGTTTGCAAAAGTAAGAATGCCGGGATGAGATTCTGATGACGCATAATTGCACACCAGATTGACTTTTTCTGTTCGCTGACGTTTCGGAGAGCTAACCCACCAAAGCGTAAACTACTGATTATTTGTGTAAAGTTCAGTTCGCGTCGGCCGTGAGTGGATCGATTTTTCCTCCTCCACTGTCTGCTCCCCTATATTTTGCTGTAGGTTATTGACAGGTAGTTTAGCGCCTTATCTCGCAGTAGAGGATGTTGGCAATCCTGGACGCTAACGGCAGTTTAGGCTTTGACAAAGGAGAGCCCGCCCAGCCCTTTGAAACGTCAGCGAACGCAAGAGAGCACCAATATGTCCTTTATTCCGTATCTAAGGCAATGTCTTCCGAAATTCCTGTGTGTTTTTGATTTGAAAACTCTTTTAACATGGCGTCTGTGGCCCTATATAATCCCTCTGATATTTGAAAATAATCGGTGTGGACGATACATTTATTTGTAATCAGTCTTTACCTGATTCGATACACTCTTGCACTGTTAACTTTTTAGGGCACTTAAATTGATTTTTTTCTTAGTAAAACATTGAAGGCTCTGACATTGAAGACGGTGTTCGAAGACTGCGAAATATTTTCAGCTACAGCCTCTCCTCAGCGGTCTTCGCCGGTATTTAGCATTTTTCTGCATTTTGCATCAGTAGGTTGCTGTTTCTCGCATTTCTTGATACCAATCTCAACAATAAGAACTCCGAAACATAAAATTTGCGGGCTGTATATGGTATGCGTATCGTGTTCTTTTACGTGGTTTATGTTTAAATTACCTCATTCCTTTCTCTTTCAAGGAAAGTTATTTATATTTGAATATAAGACATCCAAGGGCCACTTGAGTGCCTCACGCAGTTGTTGACCTTATTAAAACGTGC